GAAAGATGGGGGTACAAGAGGTCCGGTCGAACTCTGGTCTGAAGAGCCGAGAGTGACGGGAGCTCCGCTTTGTGCTAAGTGTTCGAGCGTTTGTTGTTCGTTGGGATCCTTGGTCGTTCAGATCGTGTGTGTTGTTCGAGTTGTTGTGGACTGATTCGATCTCTTCTTTCGGAAGAGAGCGCATCCCCCTTTATAGATTAAGGGGATTGCCTTACAAGTGAGGGAGGGAGAGTGTACGTATGCTAAGTCTTGTTGCTCACGCCGTCGGGTACAAGATGATTGTAGGCGCCCATAACACTGTTAATGTCAGATGCATATGGGAGGTTGCATCGTCTTCTTCTGGTATGGTAGACGTCGGTGCCTGGCATACTGTTGATGCCCAGAGGCATGTAGAGGGTTTTACTATGTTTGCCTCGTATGGTAAATGCCAGCGCCCACAACACTATTGATACCCAGAGGCATGTGGGGGGAGCCTTACCGTGTTTGTCTGGTATGGGAGTTGATAGTGCCCACAATACTATAAGGCAAATGTCGGCGCCAACAACACTGCTTGGGTTCTGGCATGCCTGAAAGGTTGCAGGGCACCCTTTTGACATGTCCTGTCAATACTGTCCTGTAGGTGTACAAGGTACAGTCCTCGGTATTGTGGTTGACTTGAGTGCCCTGTCTTACTTCCTTCGTCCGTTTCCTGGTCCTCACCGAGCGGACGTCCCCGATCGGTTGGTCCCAGTCGGCTCTGATCGTGCCAATCGGAGAAGGCTGTAAGCAGGGGTTTGCCGCATCCCCGATCAGAGACGCGGGTCGGAGTCAGAAGTAGTGTTTGGTCAGGCCTTCCGGTCGGAGAGGCCGTCCGGAGGCGGGCCGGAGTCAGAAGCCAGCGTTGTTCCTCCTTAGTGAAGCCTTCCGATCGGAGAGGCGGGCCGGAGGCGGAAGTAGGCGTCGTTCCTCCTCGGCCAGGCCTTCTGATCGGAGATTGGATCACCCTTTATGGCCGGTCGTTTTAGGTATTTGGGTCAGCCCAGGAGTTGCGCGTCATTCGCAATGTTGTCTACTGGGTCAAGCCTTTTGTTGGGAAGCGGGTCCATGAGAGACCCCGGGTTTATGAATCCGACACAAGCCTTTTCATTCACATACCCCAGCATTGCAGCCCGTTGGCATGCAACCGAGTGATCTTGTCGGTTAAAAAATAAAATATACAATATGCTTCTGCATCAATTCTACATCACCGTTGGGCAGAAAATAGAATTGATGCATTAAAACTCATAAATTGACATGAAATCCATATAACTACTCTTCAAAATTAAATTCTCTCGTTGGTTCGAATTTAATTAGAAGATAATCAACTTCATTGCAGCAAAAACTTAATAATGAAATACATTCTTTTAGTTCAGGAGCATTTCTTGGTCCTTATCTATTCTCTAAAAAATTTACCACGTTGGTATAAAATTTACCAGAGATTTAAACTTCAAACTTAAATTTGTTATAATATTGTCATCATCAACGTTGGTCAGAAAATGACAATACCATAATCTTACTTAAACAAAAACGGACTACTCTAATTAAATTTTCTCATTAGTTCCAATTTAATTAGAGGATCAACATAATCATAATTTTCTAAATATAACTACTTTTCAAATTAAATTCTCCGTTTGGTTCGAATTTAATTGGAAGATAATAAACATTAAACTTTGCAGTAGAAACATGAGAAATTATTTATCTACTTTTCAGAAGCATTTTACTTTACTCATGTACTCTCTGAAAAATTATCTTGTTGGTTCAAATTTTGACAGATTTAAAACTTGACAAAATTCATCGAAATTTGCTTCTGAAAATTGTCAAAACTGCTTCTGAAAATTAATAAAAACTTAAAGCATTAGCTACTGTTCATTTGGCCCGGCCTATGGAAAAACAGCACGTGGCCCAGCTTCATAGCGCAGTAGCGCGCGGCCTAGTCCAGCGAAATCGGTCCACGCCGAACATGCGCGCCGCCCTCCCCCGTGCCCAGGCCGAAACCTGGGCCTGGGCCGGGAATTCGACCCACAGCGCGCGCCCCGCACCGCTCCGCCTGGGCCAGCTACCGGCCCAGCGAGCGCTGGCCGTTGATCTCGAATCCAACGGCGGGGCATTGATCTTGGCGGAACAAAACCTCGCCGCGCCGTTCCGTGGAAAACCCTAACGCATTTCTCTACTCTCCTTTCTCCTCTTCGCCGCACGGCTTAGCCAGCCTAGCCGAGCTCAAGGAGAACGCGACGCAGGGGATGGTGGCTCCGCCATGGCACCCCTCACCGGAGCCGCGACACCACAGTGGTGCCCTTTGGCCCGAGCCCGAGGCGGAGACCGTGCCGCGGCGCTTCTCTCGCCCCGGCGGCTAGGGTTGATTTCCCACACGGCGTCCATGCGACGGCCGGCGGTGGAGACGGAGCGGGCGGACCCCAGGTAGGATCTCCTTCCCCTTGTCCGATTCGCTCTCTTCCCCTTCCTCGTCGCGAGTTAGGGTTAGGGTTTTGTTAGGGTTAGGATTAACCCGATTCGGTTTTTCTTTCGGTTTTGATTCGAGATCGGCGAGGTAAGCCCCTTCCTAGCTCTTCCCCTTTCCCCTTCTTCTGCTCTTTTGAGTCTTCTTCTATTCTTCTCGGATCTTGTCCGATTTTGGGGTTAGGTTAGGGTTTCTGGTTACATCATTGTTCTTCTTCCCCGACGGTTAGGGTTCGGTTGAACCCTCTGCATCGCTTTGATTTCTTTTCAATTCTCTACCCCATACTAGATCTACACACTGGCAACCCGGCTCTGATACCATTGTTAGAAGTTTAGTATCCATCTAGGTGCAGATCAGAGGGTGTGTTCATTTCTGATTAAATCAATTAGACCTAGAGCATGCTTTGGTAGAGAGAGACAGAGAGGGAAGGGTGAGAGGTGAGACATCACCGGGCATCGAAGGGTTTGGCAGTGGAGCTGGAGCCATCCATGGCGATGTTGGTGATGCTGTGAGGGTGGTGAAGTCCGGCGCAGCGGTGGCGCTGCAGAGGCGACGGTGAAGTCGGTGGTGGCTTCCCGTCGCTGGTAGCACGTTCTCTTTAGACCGGGTTAGGATTTCTCTGTAGGTGGGTTACGGTGGCTCAGGTCAACCTCGTAGATAGAGCCCCGGCCCCACCTCCCTTTATGGTGTTGTGCGACGGGGGCCCACCAACCGTGCAGCGGTTGGGCGCCCCCGATCATGGCGCTGATCCAAGGGCCCAATTGGCTGTGGGCCAATTGGTGGAGATCAACTAACAATAATTTCCCAGACTTGATGAGGTATTGGCAATGGTTGCAACAGGCCAGGAGATTTGATTCTCTCAGTTTTGGCTTGTTGACATATCTGACACCTTTTCACAAAATCTTGCAGACTGTTTCAGGCAGGGCCAAGCAAACAGTAGCTTTATTCTTGCATAAGTAGCACTAACTCCTGAATGGCCTCCTATACCACTATCATGCATGGCAATCAAAATGTTTTGCTGTACAGTGGTGTTATTGCCTACCCAAACCCTGCCCTTGTACCTGATCACACCTTCTTGGAAGGTATAATCCTAATAAGCTTCAGGTGATGTAGCTAACTCCATCATCAACTGCTTAGCCTACTCATCTTCTTCATACCCTTCTTTTAGTTTTTGGATCCATGCAGGAATGCACTTAGACACAGCCTGAACCTCAGCTGTGTGTTCACATCTTGATAGAGCATCAGCAGCCCTATTGGTTGCACCCTTCTTATACTGAATTGTGTACTGAAGGTCCATAAGCTTGATTAAAGCTTTGTGTTGCAATTTGGTAGCCATTCTTTGCTCACTTAAGTGTTGCAAGCTTCTATGGTCAGTCCTGATTTTGAATGGCTGATCCTGAAGATAGGATCTCCACTTCTCAACTGCAAGTAAGATGGCCATGCACTCTTTATCATATACAGACAAGGCTTGATTTCTTGGACCCAATGCCTTACTCAAGTATGCTACTGGGTGTTGGTTTTGCATCAGAACAGCTCCAATGCTTAGGTCACTAGCATCTGTCTCAATGACAAATTGCTTGTTGAAGTCAGGCACAGCCAATACTGGGGCAGCTATCAATTGTTTCTTGAGTGTTTCAAAAGCACTGACAGCATGTGTTGTCCACTGAAATGGAACATTCTTCTTGAAGAGCTCAGTAAGAGGTTTAGTGATCATGCCATAGTGCTTAATGGATTTTCTATAGTATCCAGTCAATCCAAGTAACCCTCTTAGTTGTTTGACTATTTTTGGTGTTGGCCACAAGCTAACTGCCTGAATTTTTGAACTGTCAGTTGCCACACCAGCTTCAGAAATGGCATGCCCCAAGTACTCCACTGATGGTCTGGCAAAGGATCACTTAGACTTCTTGATGAAGAATTGATGTTGCTCAAGAATGCCAAACACCTTCTGTAACAATGCCACATGCTGTTCTAATGTTTCAGAGTACACCAATATATCATCTATGAAAACCAGAACTCCTTTCCAGAGCAATTCAGCAAAGATAACATTCATGAAACTTTGAAAGGTTGCTGGAGCATTGGTGAGACCAAATGGCATGACCAGAAACTCAAAAAGGCCATTATGAGTTCTGAAGGCAGTTTTGTACTCTTCTCCTGTAGCCACGCAAATCTGGTGATATCCAGATCTAAAATCTAGTTTAGTAAACCACTTGGAGCCAGCTAATTCATCTAACAACTCATCCACCACAGGCATATGGTGCTTATGCTTGATAGTAATGGCATTCAAGTGTCTATAGTCAATGCAGAATCTTCATGTTCCATCTTTCTTTCTGACTAAGAGCACAAGAGAGGCAAAAGAGCTTGTGCTGGGTCTGATTACTCCCTGAGATAACATCTGCTGCAGTTGCTTTTCAATCCCAGTCTTTTGAATTGGTGAGTATCTATATGGTCTAACTTTGACTGGTTGAACTCCAGGTATCAAAGGAATGCTATGGTCTGCTACTCTTTTTGGTGGTAAGCCAACTGGTTATGCAAATAGATGCTTGTACTGTTCCAACAAGCCTGATACTGCTTCTGGAATATCCTTCTCAGAATCCTTGGTTATGTCATCACTGGTATCCATGGAATTGAGCAACTGAACACAATGAGAGACAGCCCCATGCTTCAGTAATCCCTTCAATTTCTGTGCACTAATTGGATTGCAATGAGTAGCATCATTCACCACCCCTTGCAGCTTGATGGACTTGCCTTGATACACAAACTGCATTGTCTTCAATTTATAATCAATTAGTAATGGCTGCAATCTTCTAGCCAATCTTTTCTCAGAATGAGATCATAGCATTTCAGAGGCAGCACTCTAGCATCTGAAACAAACTTGTGACCTTGAATGAACCAAGATAACTGGGCCACTTTCTGATCACACAACATGAGTCCACCATCTGCTGCTTTATAGGTAGTGGTTTCACAAGCAGTGGTTTGCAGTTTCAACTGAGACACCAATTGTTCACTCACAAAGGTACCAATACTGCCCGAATCAACCAAGATCAGTACCTTGTGTTTCCCAATTTGGGCCAACAACTCTAGTGTCTGTCTGTTGACTGTTTGAGGATTAGGTTCAATTTGGACAGCTAACACTTCCTGTTCTTCGACAGCCGATTCCTCCTCACTCTCATCATCATCATTAGATTGCACAATGTCTAAGGCATCCAGGAACTCCTCCAATACATGTAATGAAATGTGAGGGGGACAAGTATGAGCAGGGCTCCACTTCTCACCACACTTGAAGCATAATCCGTTTCTTCTCCTCAAGGACTTGAGGCTAGCCAACTTATCCTCAGCTTCTGTTTTGTGAGCCTTGATCACAGGTTTGGCTGTGTCCACAGCTCTCGGCTTCTCCGCACCAATTCCCGAACACGCAGTCGATCTGGTGAAATCCCGCCCAGATGACTTCGAATGTTCCTGCTCCAATTCTTGTTCCTGAATCAGCGCCAGAGCACTCGTGGTGTCGACATCGTGAGGCCGGTGCAGTAGCAGCGCCGACCTGATGTCGTCACGGAGACTACCCACGAATCGCGTGACGAAGAAGGTGTCGTCATACGCCGGGATGTAGAGCAATACACCATGGGCCAGCTTCTCGAATGTCGCCTGGTACTCCAGCACCGAGGCAGTCTGCTTCAGGGCGTTGAATTGCCGGGGAAGTACCTCGTACTGATCTTTGTTGAATTTCGCCATCACCAACTCGCACAGCCGTTCCCACTCGACAATCCTTCCACGCCGCTGCACGGTCTGCAACCAGGTTCGCCGCGGGCTCCTTGAAATTCAGCGCGGCGAAGCGCATCTACATCGTCGCGTGGACGGCATATACCTCGAAATAAAGTTCGCATTGATCACGCCACCAACGGGGGTTAGATCCATCGAATTTGGGGAATTCCATCTTCGGAAACGGGGGATTGTGATGTACCGAATCCTCATCAGAAGCAGGAGCCTGAACTGGAAGGGGTTGGGGAACGGGACCATAGTGCGTACCGTTCCCCGGGCGAGGCGGGGGAAATCCGAGGATTCCACTGCCAACGTCCCGGATTTGATTGTCATTGCCGTGCCCCATGGGCGAATTCGGTCGCGGAGGCGTCGCACTTGACGACGCTCCGGGAGCCGTGTTGAGGTCGAGACCCGCCACAGCCGGTGGCGGATGGTGTTGCGCGCTCCAATGAGGTGGCGGCGGGGGCGGCGATGGTGGTGGAGGACGAAACTCGAGGCGAGACACACGCGACATCGTCACCTCGACCCGAGTCGCCATCGCCGTGGTCTTCTGCAACAGGGTGCCGAGCGACCTGTCCGCCGTCTCCTTCCAGGTCTCGAGTGCTCCAAGCTTGTCCAAGGCGGTGGACATCATGTCCTGGGACCCGGCGAACTGCTTCGCCATGGCCTGCATCGTTGTCTTCAATTCGTCGACGGAAGCCGCCATTTTGCGACTGAAATTTGGGCGGATTCTTCTTCGGCGCCAGGATTTGGGGGGAAAAAATTCCGGCCAAATCAACCAAGCTCCTGATACCAAATGTAATGATCCTAGGTAGTTGAATGGAGATTAGGAGGGAATCGTAACAAGAAATTGGGAAGAACAAGATAGAGCTCGGCTGAATCCCGAGAGGGAAGATTGGTTTAGACGGGGATTCAGTTATCTGTTCTTCGTTGCCGTTACAGAGGAGCGGGCTCGGCTTATATCTGCGCCGGCACCGACACACGACACCCTCGGATACGGGCTCCAGCCCAACACACGCCTACGGCCCATGGCCGACTAGTACAGACTCCGACTACGGCCCATGGCCATAACACTCAGGCACGGCAGGGGCCCCGGCCCGAACTGCCGGAAAGCAACTGCGGCTTTCACGGCTCCTGTCTGTCACTCTAGCCTGTAGCGGCACGAACCACGCATGATCACTCTAGACTGATCGGCCGCGAGGTGAAAACTGAAAACCCAGCGGATTTCGGTTCGCTCGGCTCGGACGGCCGGTCACCGCGGAAAAGCGTCGAGAAGGCGACCGTTGGTGCGCTCGGCGTGGGAGGCGCTCCGCCGCGGCCGGGCTGTTTTGCCCGTCGCTTTCGCTCGGCTGCCTGTCCCGTCGTTCAGTTCACAGCTGAGCTCCCCGATCCGACCCTCCGCTCGTCTTGCGCAATGGCCACTCGTGGAGTCGTGGTGTGGCGTTCCGCCGATCCTGTCGCCCACCCGCTGCCGTCACTGACGTTGTCACGTACTACTGTAGAATAGAATTGTGCAACTGGACCACTCTCATTAATGAATATAGTGGACATATATATGATTACAACCGAGGGCCTTTGGCCATGACTGTACACTCAAGTGGACGAGCGTGCCTGGCGGGCATGCGTGGAGCGAGAGGACCGGGCACGCGAGGTCGTGACGAGCGAGTCACAGGTGCGGCGTGCGTGTCGTGCGCGTGAAGAACGTGCGAGCTGTTGGAGCCGTCGTGGATCCGAGAAGCCGGGGACGCCTCAGCCGTTGAGGACTTGGTTCCGCTGACACCCCACGCAGTCTCGACGTCGCCGGCGGTGATGGAGAGGCTGTCTCGGAACTCAAAGAATAACGTTGACGGCAGTCCCTTCGTGAACACGTCGGCGAGCTGACGAGCACTGGGAACGTGCGTGACACGAAGTTCTCCAATGGCGACCTTCTCTCGGACGAAGTGGATGTCAAGCTCTATGTGTTTTGTTCGTCGATGGTGAACGGGTTCCTGGACATATACACCGAGGAGATGTTGTCGCAGAAAGCCACTGTCGCGGAGGGTACCTTCACAAGGAGCTCGCCGAGGAGATGCCGTAGCCAAGAGCACTCGGAGACGGCGTTGGCGATGGCGTGGTACTCAGCCTCGGCACTCGATCGTGACACGGTGGTTTGTCGCTTCGAGGACCACGAGATGAGCGAATTGCCGAGGAAGACGCAAAATCCAGACGTGGAGCGACGCGTATCCGGGCAGCCGGCCCAATCGGCGTTGGAGTAGGCGGTGATCATCGCTGTCGGGGCGGAGCGCAGCTGGATGCCGAGAGTCGTCGTGCCCTTGACGTACCGAAGAACGCGTTTCAGCATCGTCTGGTGAACGTCGCGCGACGCATGCATGTGTAGACAAACATGTTGCACAGCGTAGGCGATGTCCGGTCGCGTGATCGTCAGGTACTGGAGTGCTCCGACGACGCTCCAGTACGACGTGACGTCGTCGATCAGCTTGCCATCGGTTGACGATGCCTTGGACTTGGTGTCTGCGGGTGTGGCAACTGGTTTACAGTTTGCCATACCCGCTCGGTCCAGCAGGTCCTCAGCATATGAAGCTTGGGAGAGGAAGAAGCCTGCCGAGGTGCGGCGAACATTGATGCCGAGGAAGTGCCGCACCGGTCCCATGTCCTTCACAGCAAATGCATCTTGCAGTCTGTTGATGATGTGCCGAAGGAGTGTTGCCGTCGATGCCGAGAGTATCATGTCGTCAACGTACAGAAGAAGATATGTTGTTGCTCCGTTGTGGTGGTAGACGAAGAGGGAGGAATCCGCCTTCGACTGGACGAAGCCCAAGCTCGTGACATGGCCGACAAAACGATCGAACCACGCCCGCGGTGCTTGACGGAGGCCGTAGAGCGAGCGCGAGAGGAGGCAGACGTCGTCGGGTCGTCGTGTATCAACAAAGCCAGTGGGCTGCTGACTGTACACCTATTCCTGCAAGTTGCCGTGGAGGAAGGCGTTGGAGACATCGAGCTGGTGCGCAGGCCAGTGTTGCGTCGCCACGATCGTGAGGACGGTTCGGATCGTGGCCGGCTTGACTACCGGCGAGAACGTTTCACCGAAGTCGATGCCGGGGCGCTGGTTGAACCCACGAACGACCCACCGAGCTTTGTAGCGCTCGAGCGAGCCGTCCGGATTCATCTTGTGCTTGAACACCCATTTGCCCGTGATGACACGAGCACCTGGCGGCCGTGGAACAAGAGTCCAGGTTTTGTTTGCCTGCAATGCATCAAACTCCAATTTCATAGCAGCATACCAATGGGGATCCTTGACGGCGTTGTGGACGCTCTGAGGGATGGGTGAGACGGCGGTGGAGACCGTCATGGCGTACTTCGGGTTGGGTTTGTGGATGCCGTCTCGGGCGCGGGTGATCATCGGGTGACGGGGCGCCGCAACGTCGTGCGCAGGCGACATGGTGATGGGCGTCGTAGGTGGTGTTGCTGCACTGCTGACCGGGGTTGATGTTGTAGTGCTGGAGACCACCGGATTGGTAGTAGACGGTGTCGATGGTGCTGCGTCGTCGATGGTTGGCGAACGTTGCGGCGCAAGACGTCCAGGCGGAGACCGTCGAGGTGGTGAGGGACGATACATCGGAGGGGACGGCGACGGTGGTGGAGTCCAGGGTCGCAGCACAGCTTGGGCGGCACCCTGTGTGGCACGAGGAGGTGGTGGAGGGTCACTGTCCTCCAAGATCGGCACGTCACGAGTTGTGGCGGTGATGCGGAAGGGGAACACGTCTTCATCAAACACGACATGTCGTGAGGTGATGACATGGCCTGTCCCGAGCTCGTAGCAGCGATAGCCACGGTGATCCGCCGGATAGCCGATGAAGATGCACGGCATTGAACGCGCGGCGAGCTTGTGGCTCGTCGTGGCGATGGTGTTGGGGAAGCAGCGGCAGCTGAAGACGCGAAGCTCGTCGTAGGACGGAGGTGTGCCGAAGAGCAGCTCATACGGCATAGTGGTTCCGGTGGTGCGACATGGTCGGCGGTTGATCAGGTAGGTCGCCGTCGCGAGCGCCTCGGCCCAAAACTCCAAGGGAGGTGCACTATGAATCAACAGAGTCCGCACACAATCATTAACCGTGCAATGCATGCGCTCAGCCTTCCCGTTTTGTTGTGATGTATAGGGACAGGACAGCCGTAGCTGAGTGCCGAGAGAAGAGAGGAGAAGGCGCATAGCAGTGGAGTCATACTCCCTGCCATTGTCAGTTTGAAAAGCGAGGATCGGCAGGCGAAACTGAGTGTGGACATAAGTGATAAACGTGCGGATGGTTGGAAGAACGTCAGACTTATTGCGTAGTGGAATTGTCCATAGATAGTGAGTATAATCATCAAGGAATGCAATATAGTATTTATAGCCTGAGTAGCTGAACACAGGTGAGGTCCAAACATCAGAGTGCACTAGCTGAAAAGGGAAAAAGGAATGTGATGCAGATGCAGCAAACGGCAGGCGAGTATGTTTGCCAAGACGGCATGATGTACATGAATGGGCATCAGTCTTATTACAACAAAAGGCAAAATTATGCAGAATTTGAGAGGTAACTGGATGTCCTGGGTGTCCCAGCCGCTGATGCCACAGGGACGTCGCCGAGGACATGTGAAGAGCTTGATGGCATGGAGGTCGGAGTGGGTAGATCTCACATCGGAGCATCTCCACCTTGGTAGGAAGATCCTTTATGGAAAAGCCAGAAGGGTCAAATTCGATTGAAACATTGTTGTCACGTGTTAAACGACGAACTGAGATCAAGTTCTTAATAAGAGACGGAGATACAAGAACATCATTTAAACGAAGAGATTTGGTGGCAGTGGGAATGAAAGTTTGTGCCTGGTGTGTGACGGGTACACGAGCACCATTACCCACTGTGATGGTGGAGGAGGATGGTTGGAGGGTAGAGGGAAGGAGTGTACCAGGAGAGGATGACATGTGCGACGTGGCTCCAGTGTCAAAGTACCCGTCGGCGGCGCTGGGAGGTTGATGAGGAACATCGGTCGCATTCAGCGCCGCGTAGAGAGCGCTGGTGTCGAAGGTGTTGGAGTTCTATGCAGCGGCCACCATTGTTCCGGGTTTGGCCGCCGCCTGCCGCCGTTGTTGTTGCCGCCGCCGCGACGCCGATCGGACCGATTGTTGGAGCGCCCGTTACCGCCGCCGTTGCTGTTACCGGAACGGTTGTTGTTGGATCGCGGCGCAGAAGGAGCGGAGGAGCCGTATTTGGCGCCGGAGGAAGCATGGAGGTCGGAGTTGGGGGAGCCACCGCTGTGGTCACCATGCGCTGTAGTAAGGGCCTGACCGGCCTCGGCGTTGGAGTCATGCTGAAAGCTGAGCTCCTCAAGGATGAGGAAGGAGCGGGCACTTTGGAAGGTGTGCGGCGGGAACTTGGAGGTGATGACGGGCTTGACGTAGCGGTACCAAGGATTGAGGCCGTGAAGGAGGTTCAACACTTGGCTCGGCTCGGAGACGGGGTGGCCGATGTCGCGCGGCTGATCGGCGATGCTCTTCAGCTTGGTGCAGTAGGTGTTCATCGACATGTCACCTTGTTGAAGAGAGTGCAGCTCGGTTTCGAGGTAGACGGCGCGCTGCAGCTCGTTGTCGTGGAAGAGCCCCTCGACGGCGTTCCAGAGGGAGAATGCGTCGTGGTTATCACGGCGCACGACGTCGTAGACGCCCTTGGAGACGGTTGC